TTCCATGCACTAAACAAGAACCTCTCCTGTACCACCTGATTGGTACTATCCCAATATGCAGTGCTGGACCTAACTGAGCATGCTGTGGCAAAGCTTTACCTATAATACCAACCAACTTCACACGGAGTTCATACAAAAGGTGTGTTAGCCTGGGCTCTCAAGAGCAATTTTTTTCTCCCCTTATAAAAACAGCTTGTTTCATTTCAAGGTGAAATTACAAATACAGAAATAACCTTTGAGTAAAACCAAAGTCAGGGTCCCCTGGGCTGAGTAATTCAGCCCAATGAAATCATCAATAAAATTACTGATGTGCAAAAAGACTTACGATGGGTCGAAGATGGATTTTGGACAGACAATAACTTTGGATAAACATTTACAACTTCAGATACAAGAAGTGATTAAAAAAAACAAGTAAGAATTCTGTAGGTGCAGATGACAGCAGCATTACAGTTAATATTTAATCACGATATTGTGAGAATGTTCAGTAGTGGAAGACAGGATTAACATATTGCTTTAAAACATTCCATTACTTTCTGCATCTGTTTACTGATAATAAAAGAAACAGCTGTTCTAAATGTAACATTAACAGGTGTAAACCGTTCATTTGAGATTTTAAAACAATAATTCTGCTCCATTTCCTCCTTAGCTATTTTGAAATGACATTACGAACACTCCTCCTATTAGCTTACACAATTAACTCGTAATTGTTTAACCTCTCTGCATGTCCGCAAAACGTATACATGTGGAGTTAGCTTCCTTCTCATTTTGTGCAAAAGGCTCTGTTCTTCTGCAGTGCACATCCTGAACTAATGCACCAGATGTGTCCCATAAAATGGTTGGTCACACTATTCAGCAGCTTTCCTTTAGCAACTGTTCTATATCAAATTTACTGTAAAAAAGCATCGTAATTATGAAGTAACACCGTATCAAATTCACAGACCTAATATCTCACTATGTTCAGTTAAACTATGAATGATAATTGAGCTTGAAATTGTATATTTACTTTAAATAAGTCCTCCAAATCATCTGCAACAATGTGTGCTTAATTCGAAGCCATTAACAAAAGATTTAACATTTCCACATTTATACTCTCCATAATTTCAGATATGATACTGCATACTTAGAGAGAGAGAGAGGGGGGAAAAAAAACCCACTACTTCTCGTAGCCGTCCATTTGCAAAATTAAATGGATGTACCTTAAGTATCTTACAATTGCTAACCCAGCCTGTTAAATGCTGGGTACAAAAGAAACAAAACATTCAAGAATTATTCAATATTGCTATCGCAGCCAAAAAATTAATTCAGAATTAGAAGTTTGTTTAACAAAACAAAACCAAACCAACGCCCCCCCCAAAACTAGACCTGCTTTACAGAAGATAAAACTACCTCTGAAGACCACATATTGTAACACTTTCAAAAACTTAAAAAGTTGCTCATTGATGCTTACTTTCATTGAAGTAATACCAATATGTATGTGAGGGGTGGGGGGGAAGGAATGAAACCACTTGCATAAACTGAGACTGAGGAGCGGGTGCTCATGTAACTAAAATGTGTTGCTTAGGAGTACTGATTCTATTCCTAGGTATTTTAAGTATTCCATATTAGAATATGGAAATACAGAAGAGGAATCCATTTTAACAAATCACAAATTACATCATACAGATTTTACTGTTGCCAGTGACTGCTACATGCTCCTGAAATAAGTTAAGCATTCCCCTCTTTTCGCTATTATTCTCTGAACTGCTAGTATTCATACTAAATGAAGAAAAAAAAAATCCTCCCAGAAATACTCCAAATCCTTCACACACACACTCTTCTTAACTGAGGGGAAACAGAAATGTCATTATTAAGATTCCCAATACCTTCAGAAAAGAAACAAGTAAAAGGTGCTACCCTTACTTCATGTTTATACCCATATTTATATGCATGGAAAAATAACTCTTTTTTCAATGAGATTTTTCCTGTATTTAAAAAGAATTAAAATAATATGCAACTTTTCAGAATCTGGGCAAGGTGGACAGCTGAGCTGCAAATACACCACTAGAACTGAACCTGCCCAAACCAACTGTACAAACGATCCTCTGAAAAATGCAAAGCTACATACAACCAAAAGTCTTTTTAAGTTTTATTACGAGATCATGCTTTAGTCTGGAAAGGTCCCAGTTATCGCTTAGGGCACACTGCTGCCCGCACTAAGCATATTTTACGAAGGCAAACAAGCGCACCATGAGAAGCGCCATAAGTGATAACACTTTGACCTGCTGGTGACTGAAAGTAAGAAAGGAATGATGCTCGTTCACAGTCAACCTCAGACCTGCCTACCCATCATTTTAAGTGGTCAAAATTGTACAAAACCAAAATGCCAGCACAGGGCGGCGCAAATACCAGAAGTCCCCCGAAGTGCCCCGACCCAGCCACCCGTGGTGGAAACAGCTGCGCGGGCCCACAGCGTGGGGTACAATGCCACGGCAGCCTGACCACTCACCGCTGGGATGCGCACCCACCAGGTCCCGCCCCGCTGCTCTCTCCTCTAAGCCAAGAGGTCAAGCAGAACAATAACCAAGTCTACTCATCGTTACGCATTTTAGGTTTTCTTCCTTTCAAACAGCCCATTTAGCCAGGGACGGATGGACAGACTGCCAGGACAGGCAGCCTTTGCATGCTCTCCCGAGAGCCTCCTGGGGTTCACCACTTTGTGAAACAGGAGTGGCACCAGGTGCTGATGCAGCAGCAACAAGTTGATGTGCCTTCCTCTTCAAGAACCATCAAATCAAGTACACCATTTGACTTCTTTTAAACTTGTAAATCTAGAACTGGGGTACTCTTATTGTTTAAATAAGGAAATAAAACAGATGCATTACCAGAGGCATCAGCAAGAGCATCTCCAGAAACAGAAAGTAACATTTCCTTCTGTCCACACTGGATAAAGCAAGGAGAGACCCACCCTATCTAAAGCCCCTTCCCATCGGCACAGTATCAGAATAACTCACAATTTCAACTTGCACCCCCAGCCACAAGTACCCCAGTGGGGAGACACCCAGACTTACAGCACCAAAGCTGTGCTACTGGCACCCAGCCACACGACAATCCAGCAACATCCCACAGAGACACAAAACAAACTGCATGTACACATACCTAAAGAAATCCACTGCAGCCCTCTGAGGTAAAGGACAGCAAACCTAGCCCAGGCAGGAGGAGGGAAGGAAGTCAGGGAGGAGGGAAGACCCAGCTCCCAACTGCCTAACCTGGTGCACCTGCACCCACAGAAATGCCTGACACTCATTTGCTCCCATAGCAACTAAACCCACCTTGGCACCTGTGAATACCAATTTACCAATCCCTTTTTATCCTCCGTCTAGGGCCTGAATACCCATTAAACAACAACTCCTCTGCAACCGTACTATTATATGAAAGCATTTGATGCTGACCCTCATTTTACCAAAGATACTAACATTTGCCCCACTATAATTAAGATACAGCTATTTTACCTTTTGGAAAAGAACTAGCAATTATTAATCTCATTAAATACCACACATTATATTCCCAACTGACTAAAACTGGTGCACATGTTCATTCAAGTTCCAACAAACTTAGTTTGGAGATAAATTTCCTTTCTCCAGCTTGCCTTTGGCTTTTCTCACTGTAATGGCTGCTCTCTAAAGTCTCACAGTTTGTATCCAAACAAGAATAAAAATAAACAAACTATAACCTTCTGCATCCACCGCAAGGCTGGGATCCTGTTTCCCCCTTGGAGCCAAGAGTCACATCTTCCTGTGTCTCCATCCACCTTCTCGCTTCCGTTCTAAAAATTCACATCTTCTGCACCGAGTGACATTTACAACCAACAAGTGTCCAGTTTTCCAGTGACATTCTCATCTTGTGCCTTGCTCGCTGGTTAAGTTTGGAAAGTTATCCTGCTTGCACCCTATAATCATCCCTGCTCTTTATGCAAAGGATAAACTTACTTTAACAGCATAAAAGCATAATCATTACCTTTCAGTTTAGAATTTGTATGTTGTCATGTATTGCTGTGATGTGATTTCTTAACTTAGTTCACCAGTTCAGGATTGTTTGATACAGAGCAATAGGTCCATAATTTACACTTTCAGATTGTACATTTGCTTGGTCCGATACTCCTGTCCACAAACTAGCTTGCACTCAGGTCTTTCAGCAACCTTCAACCATTTACCTAGCAGCCACAGAAACACTACAAAGCTAGGTCTTACCACCACATTTTCATAGTGCCAAGACTTGCCAACAACAGAACAACGAGGACTGGACTTGAATTTTCAGGTGATCTTTCTTGAAACTTTTCAAGCATACTTTTCCAGAGACATTGCATCTGCTAGGCACAGAAGGCATGTTCGGTTAGCTTTATGGAAGTAGGCTACTACTTGAAATAAAGGAGTAAACATTATGTTCTGGTAGAAAGAGAACAAACAAGTTTACCAGAATCAGTAGCTCTCTATATAGCAGACTTTGCCCTAGTTATGCCACTTTCACCTTGAGGGAGGACAGTTTGTTTCGTGCTCCAAACAGTTTGTGTATAGCATTGCACCAACACTCAAGTATCAGCAGCTGCTTTCAGTGCTAACCTGTGCTCCTGGGACTCTGATCCTTTCAAGTCATTGGGGAGTTTTTGTTGATCTGAAGTTTTAAAAGTGTACTATACTTTTAAGAATCACACTTTTGTAAGTGTGTGAAAAAGCTTTTTGGAGATTGGACACTAGGACTTCAATACTCATTTACACGAGCTAACAATTTCCAAATAGAAACACAACACCATCAAAGTGTAACTATAATAACTGCATATGACAATGCCACATTTAAATACCTACAGCTATCTGGCATTCCTTTGAAAATTAACATCTTGTGTCCTCAGTACAATAAACTTTGCCAAGCTCTGTTGAGAGCAACACCTAATCACTTCACATCTAAAAAATTTAGACATACTGATATTTTCTAAACCTGCAGCAATAAGAAAAGCATCAAACCAGTTCAGAACATGTCTTTAATAAATCTTTTTTAAAAATAGTGATGAGCTGTTTCTCTACAGTATTTATTTCCAGTTTTCAAGTAGCATTTGAATTTAAATAAAAAGAGTCTCTAGAAGGTGAACATATAAGGAAAAGTCAGTATACAAAAGCTTTGCACAAAACATACCAAAATTACAGAGTAACGATCAAAATTAAGCAAGAGAAATATGATCCCATACAAAATGTTCCATTTACTGAATAATTTCCGTGGAGTTGTGCTTGTCAACTTCTGGAATATCTGTTAAGTGATGAAAAAAAGGACGACCATGAACACAGCCTTTATTTTCCTTTCCAAGCTGTTGCTTCATCCTGTAAATTGTGTTTTGTACATCTTCTTTTGACAAATGTAAGGGCAGCTGCCGAGCTAAACGTACTGCTTCTCCCTGTGGAAAGGAAAAACAAAAACAAAACCCCAATAGTTTTGAAGTACCACTTTTTAACACATGAATCTGGGGCTACCAGAAAGCAGGAATTAAGCACTCACTGTTTAAAGGTCACTCTTTTCTGCTGATAAAGATTCCGAATCCCAGAAACCCAAATGTAACTCTAAACATATCCTATTGGTAAATTCATGACACTTCTACAATGGCACAGTCAGTCTCCTGGTCATGTTTGCACACTTTGTCTTTTTTGGTCCACTTCTGCAAGATGCTTTGTGTTTCTGAATATCTTATTTCCTGTTGGCACCAGTATCAGCTGAAGATGTTTACCAGTTCACAAGACACATTCTACACCAAAAACTTCAGAACTAACATAAATGAAGTCAAACAGTCAGCTAAACAAAGTTTTAAAAATACTACAGTGAAATTTTAGATTAATGTTGTATTAACTATTGTCTATTGGATCCAGTTATCACACAATACTAGAAAGCAGAAGTGACTGCTAAACACAATTACTGAAGCACCCATCCTCAAAGAATCAAGCAACTTCTTTTTTGAAGTTGTCAGGTTTTTTGTTTCCTCCTCGAAGACAGGCCTTACTGCCATTGCCTTCTCTTCTGTACTTTAGTAATGTTGCCTAGTCAGAAATGGATGTGGTAAACTATCTCCCTTCACATTGTACAAACCTGAAGCAGCATTCATAACATTTTAATCTGAACCTTCTCATTTTGTTTGTCTGGGATTTTCTCCCATTCTTCCAAGTGGAAAAAAGATCACTGCGGACTATTCTCTACCTAGGAAGGCTGCTTCTTTAACCATTACCCTATTCTTTCTTCTGGGTCTAACAAAAGACAGCAAAAGCTGCAGATGTGCTGCCTGCTCAGACGTGAAATTTACAATAAAAGTCACAATTCTAAACATGACAGTGAATGGTGTTTCCAGTGTTTACTTCTCAGAATGGTCAAAAGCCTCAGTGCATATTTTTATAGTATGTTTTTTTTCTCATGATGGCAAGCCATATACTTCCTAGTTAATATATATTTTCCAGCTACTGTTACTGCTGCACATACATCTTTCTAACAGTTCGTCACAGGATCAACATTGCTCTTAATAAGCCTTCCTTTGAAAATCTCTTGATCTATACCTTTACATATATGTGTGTTTGTATATCTCTCTATATCTGTATATAGATATACACACATGCACGTTTGTATGACTGTGTGTCTATCTCTTTCTTTGTATCTAAACCAACGCCATCCCACTGAATCTGACCGATGCGTATTTGTAAGTAGAGGAAATAAAGCTTCTGCCTCCCAACCAAATTACAAACCATTCCTGTCTCAACACTTAACTCATCCCTTCTTTAAGCTTCTTTAATGACTGCACGAGAATGGTTCGGTCGCACACATCAGAATCACTCCAAAAGCAACTGTAAACTTACTGGTTCAAAAAGACAGGGAAAGATTTGTATGATAAATGTTTAAAAAATAAAACACATTCTGTGTAAATACCCAGGTTCCACTTTGAAGGAGCCTGATTCAGGAAAGCATGTTAGCAAATGCTTAAGTAAGAAGAGACTTAACATATCTTTTGGTAACCTCTTTGAACAGAGATCTTAAGAACTGGGATTAAAGAGAGCACTAGTGAAACATCTAGACAAGAAGTGATAGAAAACTACTATTGTTAGTTACTCCAGCTTTATCTAGTACCACATATATTAGTTGTCTCTGAAACTTCAGGCCCATTATTGTCTCTGGATGGATGACTTTATCTATTTGCATATCAAATATTAACAAGAGTCATTCCAGTTCCAACTGTTGCACAATAACTTCTGTAAGAAAACAGAACAAAGATGCTTTTACTCAAGTACTGTATGTCTGGCAACTAATAATGCTAGCTGCTTGTGAAGAACCCATGGTTTCCTCTCTGTCAGTGCACTGCAGAACTTAGTCACTATTACATGGAATACAGCAGACTTACAAGACTGTTGTTGTCAGTATGTGCTTCCTTTAACTGAAGAAGTTATTGATGTTAACAAAATACAAGCATTTGCAGAGGCATATGGGGTTCACCGTATGTGAGACTTCATTTTTCACTTCAATGTCTTAATTCCAGTGATAGCTTGCTCTCCTGGCAAAAAAGTTTCCATTTGCCTATCTCTGCCCTTTCTTTGAATGAATCATAGGAATTTTATTTCTTTAAGTGGAAATGGTGCACTTCCTGATTTTCACAATGTACATCTCATTGAGGTTTACATGAGAATTAAGCTTCAATTAATGCCTACTTCTCATAAACTATTACCTTAAATAATTTTATAACCTCTTCATACATTTATTTATAAAAGAGTTAAATCTTGATGGCTGTTCTAGATTCAACTGCCTTCTAGATTTTGTAAAGCAATTTTACAGCAGTTCTGTATTTTAACGTGGAGAAATGCTTTTCTACTCTGAAAACTGCCTATATAGAAACAGATTGTGAACATCAGCGTTCAGCATGTATTAGGTCACATTGGACAACTGGTTTTGGGTATGTCTGATGGAAGTATTTTGGTAAGCAATGCAGAACCCATACATCTCAGAGAGGATATAACATTCTCCTTTTCAAAAGTAACTTCTGTTTAGAACAGAACTACATGAACTACAGCAGAAAGCTGAAGAAAGATTTTCGAGCTATTTAAGGATTTATTATAAGCTTAGCTGGCAAATACTTAAAAGCAAAGTTCTGTCTTACCTCCAAGTAATTTATCACTTTGAGAGGCCTACATTCATATACTTCCTTTGCATTTCCATTAACTACTGCATTCAGAATTTCCTTCAAATCAGAAATACCATAATATGGCAGACAATTTGCCATCCCTTCTATTTCCAGATGACTTTCTGTAGCTGAAGCACCTGAAAATACAAAAACAAAACAGTAATTTATACACTGCTTTGATTTCTATTCTGGAACAATTCAGAGAAAACTAAACTGATGTAAAATCACTTAGTACATTAGTCTCACAAATTCAATACTATTAGGAAACTTCTTTTGCTCCTCCCTTGGAGTGAAAAGCATTTATTTGTCCAATGTTTCATTATTACAATGTGTGCTTATTCACATCACAAATGTCTCAGCTTATTTTAATTCAAATCCTAGCTGGCACAGTTTAAACACTTAAAATATTTTGCAGCGTTCCCAGTCTTGAGCATAGCTTTAATTAAAGCTCCTATGTCTTTAATTAAACATACATTAAAGTAGAAGCTAGTAATAAAAATATAATTTAGTTTAAAACAATTAAATAGGAAATAGTAACAACACTCTGTTTTAATTTTTTTCAAACAACTGTACAGTTCAAATGTTATCATAACAAATTCAGCTTCTACTGAAATAAAAAGCAGGTTTTTTTCTCCTGCCACAGCAGAGGAAGAACATACAACTAAAGGCTCTGTGACAGACTTTATTCTATCACTCATATGACATCACTGCTGCAGCAGGTACCACTCTGAATAGGAATGATCAACAAAACATTTAAACAACCTTCCCAACAAAATACCTATTCAATCTTTGAGGTGTAAGAGATTTCACTTCTTATTTGCACTACTTGCAAAAAATTTGAATGAAGTTGCTACTGTACAGTCAGAAGCAAGTTCTCTTGGGGTCAGGCTCACATATTCCTGTGCTGTCCTTCAGAGCTCCTCCTCTCATTCATGTTAGGTGCACAGAAATCTCAACCCAACCCACATGGCTACCTTTCCTTTTCTACCACTACAAGTCTAAGTAGTAACAAGCTTCACAAGGAGAGCATGGAAGAATACAATTCATAATGAAAATAAATCCACTCTTGTGTAATGGCCCCAGGTAGGATGAATTACATTCAGCCTGAGTCACGGATGGTTTTTGCAGCCAAAAAAGCTGGAGACACATAGATTGCTACAAAGTGGATTAAACTGACAAAATGCAATAAGGGATCATTCATGTTCCTAATCCAAACAACAATGTGAAAGGTTTCAGAAATGAGAGAAAATATATATGCAATATAAATCACCACAATGTACTTTCATTAGCTAGTAGAATGAGACTGTTATCCACAACCAGGCACTGTTTATTTGACAGGCATTAAATAAGAGCACAGATGAACAGGATGACTGTGCAAGTTGAAAATTTTTCTAAACATGGGTGTGTCACCAGGCAAATAATGCTGTTGGGCCTTTTTAAGCTTCATGGCAATAGATACTTTCATCAGAGTGTGAATTTGATATAGGGAACACCCACCCCCCCCCAATCATACCACCTCCTTTCAGCTACATATTTAACACTGCTTTAAATTTTAAACTTTATTTCCTTTTTCACCCAGCATTGTCTTCCTTCTCTTTTTTCAAGCCATCTTTCCAAAAAAATAAAACCAGACATATTTGTTATGTACTGCTGTAAGCCTGTGATCAGATTCACCTTAAAGCAAAATGTTAAACTATCTGAAAGTTTGCCAGTTATTAAAGGTGAGATAAGATGATATTTTATGCCAATATTTCCCCATGAGAAATGCTGCCAGTAAGAGACAGGAGCAAAAGATAAAGTCTGGTTTTAATCTCCTTCAGCTCTTTTCTCTTCATTTTTATCCCAAGTTTGCTGTAATGAAAGGCTAGATTTTAGTAACTGTTTCAGACCATTTGATTATGCTGCTTTCTCTCTAAAATGACAACTTAGTCTATTTGACAATCTTTCAATAATCGCCTCCCTATATGCTACCAAAGAGGGGACACAAAATTTTGTTGTTTCAAGTGTTAAGATCTTCATTTTAAAAACTTGTGTTTCCATTGCTTCCTCTTAAAATTTCATGACAGTGAGGTTCTGATTTTGCAGAACTTTTTTTAAATTTTTTTTTTTTGCAAATCCACTAAACCAATCATACATGCTTGCTAACAAGACTGCTAATGCTTGATACTCTTCAGTTTTACCAATAGCAATTTTCCTGTCTGCAAATTTTTACAGTCAGATTTGACTTCACCATACTGCTCATTAATTTGAAAGTCAAAGGGGGATTTGAAGAATCTACCATAAGAGCAAACAATACCAATCCTGTCTAATAGACATTTTTTCCTTTGGTATTTCTGTTTGTGTGTCATTCTCCTTTTCTGCTTACATTCTTTAAACTGCAAAGTAGCCCATTGCATGCTGATTAACATATATTTATGTGCAAGTCTTTGCAGGAATTCTGATATTGGCAACATTTGATGATATAAGCAGATGCCTGAGCCTCAGTGTACTTGTAAATTTTTGACAAAATATACGTTAAGATTTTTGAGTATTCAAACAGCAGTCTTCAAGCAGTTTCCATGGTAGTTTCTATGAAATGCTTTGCAACTTCCAAGGAAAATATTTCCGTGAACAAATAAACTCGCTTTCAATTGACTAAAAATGTGGATTTCTCATTGCTACAAATTTCCCCTTTCTCTTTCCAAACAAAGCATTCACAATCTTCTTTGGAGAATTCCTTCTTGATGGCCAGGAAAAACTGTTCTCTTCCAGCTGCCACCGAGATTAGGTGACACTATAAGGCTATCTATCTTCCAGTCTATGGTCAAAATCAAACTGAAATTAAGTAGCAGCATGATTTTCCACTGGTCGGTTACAAGATCTGAGGCAGCTTATATTACCAAGGAAGACAGGTTATTTACCCTTTACTGCTCTTTGAGGCTTTGTAAGCACATTCTTTGTATATACCTATGTTTGGCAGACACATTCTATCAGGCAGACAATTCTACCCTAAAAGCCTGCCTTGGAGCATGGCCCGACACACACCATTGTTTCAAAACCAGGTAAGAGGTGTTCCTTGCTCTCAGTTCCTTTCCAGCCAAGAATTCACCTCTCTCTCTAGGACTTTCACAAAGGCAAACAGACAGATGTGCAGTGAAAGTACATATAACACACACATCGTAACAAGAACTGGACAGAAAGTAATCCATCTTTCTTCTTGAAATGCTTCTCTGTATGTAGGGGTCATTGCAAGCTATACCCAGCAAACAAATGCCTGGCAGATGCCAGAATACTGAGTTAAGTAAAAGCAAACAGACTGCTCTCCCAAAGCTAGCATCACCTGAAGCCTCAGTAAGGCCAGAACATGAGGGGGCGGGGAGGGCAGTGGAAGAAAGACCGGAGCTCAGCCTCGTAGCTTTGCAAATCACAACTGGCACGTTCCACAAAGAAACCACTGATTTTGCTTAAGTGACATACTTAGAGCAAGAAGCTTTTTCTGAGCTATTTCACAACATGTTTTTCACTGTCAGCTATCCAGAGAAAAATGTAGCTGAAAACTCCTTAGTCTGCTGAGCAATCAATATAAAGAGAAACAAGGACACATTACAAAAGATCTTACTCTACCAAAACAAGAAGATAGGGCACGCCCAAGATCTAGGATACTAGGAACAACTTTGGCTGCAGTCATACAGTCTTTGAACAATATGGAGCAAAGGTAAATTACATTCCTGTCTTACAAGAAGAGAGCATTCCAAGGACACACTTATCCTCAAATGAAGCAAGAGGCAAAGTACGACCTGAAACTCTCGTGCTCTTGTAAAAATAACTATCTAAAGGCTGCATTTGTGAAAAAGGAAAACATTGCCAGAAGTTCAAATAGTTTTTCCACCAAAATGACAGAAAGAGAACAAAACTCCATGTGGAACTGCATCCTTGTTAGAAAGAAAAGGCCTAATTAGACCTTTGAAAAAAACCTACTAGGAGTAGTAAATCTGGTGTCACATGGTGCCATGGGGTTCAGAGTGAGCCATGTCCATGCTACGCCTGTGAGAAAGACTCCTGGTAGGTTATTACAGTAACTAAAGTTCAGAAACACCCCACTAGCTAAAAGCTACTTAGCCATTAAAGAGTACAGTTCTATTTCTATGAATTCTATAATTTCCGAGTACCAATCCCAAGACTTGCCAAATTTAGTGCAAGACTAATGGATTTTTTTTTTTCATCCTATCAGATAAGTTGTTCCTTACAGACAAGTCATCCAAATAAGGGAAAACCAATACTACAAGGGGTTTTTGTTTTGTGGTTTTTTTTTTTTTCAAGTAAGAAACTATCAGAATCAAAATCTTCATAAAAAGTTCCTCCGTGCCATAAGCTGCCAAAAGGTAGGAATTTAAACTGTGAAGAAGCATCTTTAACAAAGACCAGTTGAGATGCAAGCCCAACACAACAAGAGAGTTACCAAAGTCACCTTCCAAATTAAGGCAGCTGTTTACATTTTCTTGTTATTAAATAAACAGATAGTCCTGTAAAATACCCCACACACCAAGAGAAACTAAGGAATGATCTATGGTCCTATATTCAAGTCATTATACTCATCTAGGAAACAGTCCTATTGAGGTGCTCAATACCAAAGCAAGAGGTCTTGCGTTCCAAATTAATATGAGTATTATGAGTAGACTTAATATATGATAACGGGCAGCAATACTCAGGGTCCTTCTCTTTTCCTTTTGCAGAATATGTTTGGAAATTTAAACAGATAAGCAATGCAACCTGCTAGACTGACAGTCCTCTTGAGAAATCACTATGAGTCAAGGAAAGCCTCTTCTTCTGTAGCCAAAAGTCAAACTGGAGCAGCTAAGTTTCCTTTGTTCTCGTTTTGGAACGTATCTTAGAGCTACTGATGCCACCACAGCCTTATCCACATGGATCAACAGAAAGGCTTGTTATTTTGCAAGAAGAAATTACCAGAAATGCTACTTTTACATTCAAATACTAAGCTAAAGAAATGGAATCTTTGCTTGTGACATAAAAAAAGATGTCCTTGTCAGAAAAAGGAAATTTTCTACTACAGAAAACAAAACTCTTAACCCAGGATGAAAAAGGAAGCCATGCACAAGTGACTATTAATAACAAATCAACCAGCCATCAGAAAGGGACATCTAATATGACCATATCAGGATTGAAGTCCCAAAGGATAGACCTTTAAATATACTACAGTGGACCTTGACAGCAAGAAAGCTGACAGTTCAGTTGAGAAACAGCAAATACTAGGTCTGATCCAATTGACCCAAAAAGTTGGGGAAAAAATGAGTTAGAAAGGTATGTGCAATGGAGAACAGGGTTCAGGTGTGCTCCTATGGATGGTGCTAAGGTCAAACTCTCCAGCTACTGGGGGTTAACTGCACATTTGCATGCTGGACACCTCTCCACAGCAAGCTGTGACTTTATCGTCCACCATGCACAGTGGTAACTCCTGTCCCAAAAAATTAACAGTATATCCTGAAGAAACAAAACTTTTCTGAGCCAACTTCTAGTTCAACAACATCTGAATGACCCCTTTCAGGCTGTGTCTGAATTTCAAAAAACCACAAAAATAGATACTGAATTCAGACAGTGAACAAAAAAAATGCTTCTATAAGGACAGTGAAGAATGTTTTATGAGACAAACTTGTTCCCTCGAAGTTGAGAAATCCTATAGAATACTCAGGTGTTAACTGGGACAAATCACTCCTGGTCTGCAGGTCACTTTCTGTAAAGATTATACAACAAGAATCTATAAATTAAAGAACCTCAAACTACATAGTGAAATTTCCAGAGGACACATAAGGAGTATTAATAATTAATATCTGTGTTTCTAAAAATCAGCTTTAATAAGTACTTGTAGAAGATAGTAGCATATTTGTAGAAGATAGTATATTTCAGGGATGAATTTAACAAAAAAAGAAAAAGAAGGGACTGATGAAGTAGTAAGTAGAAATCCTTGGATCAGATGGAAAAAAGGCTGGGAGAAATTCCATTTGTTTGCTAGTATTTCTACCTTCATCTGCAACGGTATGCTCTTTTAATAACAGAGGATATAACTGCTATAATGTCATCAGCAGAAGCTTATAAACATGACTGACAAGATTCAGATGTTATTAACGTTTCATTCAAGTAGTTAAAATATGAGACTGCAACAAAGCACTGAATTAGATTCCCATTCTTCATGTGGGCTAGCCGCATGGTATTGATAAAGTCCACGATCACAGTTCATTGACTGGTACAGTGCCCATAAAGCACTTTTACTTTAACTGTAAACCAAATGAGAATAGTTTCTGCACAAGATTTCATTTCCTTAATTTTTCATACTTAGGAACACAGGACTGTAAGATGGTTACTACTTCTGGTTACTATGTCGAGTCCCTTGCTGTTACATTGTACAATTCTCCTCTTAAACTAATCAAGATGTCTTAAAACCAGTTTCCCATCTCCAGTACCACAAGATCAGTCAAAAACTCTTCTCCATTGTTGTCTAGAAACTGTCTTCAAATTTTCACATTCAATTTAGTCACATCCAGTTCACATTAATTAGATTTTGAGCAAACTTACAATATCAGGAGGTGGAAAAAAAAAGCATGTGAGCAAAAAGGCTAAGCAACAATCCTTTTCTCCCATATTTCTCCAGAGACATATCATAGACCTCCTCAGCTTTTGATTTGCTAGACTGAATAAACCTTCTAAAAGCTGCCTCTTACAATATGCGCTTTATTCCCCTAATAATTCAATCTAAGATTATTACCATGAACACCTCTTCTAACAAGGTTTTTACTATTTATGTAGGGATTTAGCCAGTCAGAAAGAAGTCTCCTTGTTTTTGCTGTGCATGATTCAATAAAGAAAACAGCTTAGGCTCTGTTCTTCCCAAGAGCCAGCCTCTGAGTGAAGGAGTTGCTCTACATCCCTTTTTTGTACCTACCCTTAAAAGATCCCATATGTTACAGTAGATCTGTCATCACTGTACATATGTGGGATTTGTAACACATGAAGCTATAGCATTTCTAACAGCTCTTATAGTGAATCTTTTCTCTGAGCTGTCAGCTAGGTACTACCCCCAAAGACGTTTGCTTTTCTTAGAATTCTGCTAGAGAAATCCTGATCTGCAGAACCAACCCTGGGTAGGTTGCCCCTGGGCTTCCAACAGCATCCCTGTAAATCATTCTTCAGAAAAATGTATAAACATTTTCTCTCTCCTGTTAAGGTAAAAAGATCTTATACAAAACAGACTTATTCTGTGATTAATATAGAGGCACTGAAAAGTACGCTGTCTCAAAAAAAAGTTTTGTTCAAACTCTACCAAAAGGTGTGAAGGTGATCGTGTCACCCTTTCTTTGCTGGCCTCTTTGGGCTTGGTGTTACAACTCTGATACAAAAGTAAGTCAATCACCAGATCCAGCTCCTTACTGGACCTCCTCGACTGCTCAACAGCAGAGGAGTAGTCAGCTAAGGCACGTACTTGCAGGAGCTTCTGCAAGTAACTATCACCTTGGAAGAAGCTGCCAGGACTAAGGATTCCTCATCAGTTTAATCTAAATTCTGTCAGAATGGCAATTAAGGATATTGATATCCAGCATTTTGAGAATAGAAGAAAAAAATAAAAGTCAGGAAAATGTGGATTTCAGAGCATTCTTTGTAATACTATTAAAGTTTTCAGTTCAGTTATCAATTTCCATTACTCAATGCTCTACGTAGAAGATTACGTTCTTTGCCAAGTAATAAAATCTCCATGTTAAGGAAAGCAGGATGTTAGTGCTTTAAATAAGGTGACATAGAATAACATGATCTACATTAACAATCATTTAAATCATTAAGTCAGAAGAAACAAGCCCCCACATGACTAAAAGATTTTAAAACCATCATACCTTCTATCACTTTTATCTGGAATCCATTTGCTACAAGCCTTGGATCTGACAAATAACCTGATCCACTGAAACTCTGGTAATCCTTCTGCATTTTATAAAGAGCAGCCATATACTGATATCCACCAATAAGACTGGAAAAAAAAAAAATCCCCGAAGTGTTAAAACCCCAAATCCTTAATGTGAAAATTAAACTCTAAGAAAAATACAGAAAAAAGTAGTAAGTGATGAGGAATGATCAAGATTTTTAAAAGTATTCTGAAAAATCAATTTGTTTAAAGAAACAAAATCTCAACTATTCACATATCTTAAAGAGTGACCAAGTTTAGGCATATAATAATAATTACATCAGCCATTCTCTAATCGATGGGGAAAAGTTAGCTGGAGGGAAAGCGTGAAAACGTGGAGCATTTAATTTTCCTCTGGGAGAAGAAATTTGTCTTTGCTGCATTACCAATGAAACTGGTCAAAATTCATACTTATTTCAACTGGAGTATGACCAGGCCTGTTCATTATTATATGGGAAAAGTATACAAAACCGTAAAAAAGAATCTGTTCTTACAGATAAACGAATGTACAATCACAGAATTAGCAAACAGGGCCTCACCAAGGTTTACTGTAAATAATTATCAAATGATACTTGAAATAACACACAATTTTTTGCTTAGTTGTACTATACCTGTCCGTTAACACAATTGGCTTGTCCAGTTTCTCTACTAGAAGCTTATGATTCATCAGTAATCTTTTATGTAGCAGGGCTTCTTCCAATCTATATGGATTCAGCAACATTAGCTTTTTTTCAGTAGCAAATATCCAGACATCAGGAAAACTCTGACAACGGATCAGGAAAAGCTCGTGTTCATCTGAATAATTTTTCCTGTGTCTCTGAAGCTGATGTCTACAGGAACTCAGAGAAAAAGGCACTGTCACAATTTTCGTAGGCTGTTCAGGTTTCCGCTTCTTTTCAATCTGAGCATGAAATATCTTGTCAAGCTTCTGCTGGTCAGATGGGGAAGTCTTCAGCTTGGGTTTCTGTTTTTCTGCCTCCTTTGATGGTCGGTGCACTGTGTGTCCCATAGCTTTCTTGACCTCTCTGTTGTACCGTTCCAGGTCGTTAGCAGCTTTTATTTCATAACTTAAAAGAGAAAACAAACCAGTAGCATAATCAAGATAAACCCAAACCCCAACTCCTAACATACTAAAACAAAAGGCAAGGTAACCATTTCAACAGACATGAACAACTCCCATAGTTCATTCAAGTAGCCACATCAACATGCTTTCCACTATGATGGAGATGGAAGGACATCAGGGATTGTGCCCATATTACATTATCCTTTGAAGATGACTGAGTTGGAAATCTTCCTTTATCATGACAGCCAGCAAAACCTGAATTACTGAAGCGGGAGGAGTAGACTGTGTCATATAGAGAGCTACAGCAAGTTCTTTTGACCTCACTCCCAAAGACTGTGTTTAACCCTAATTTGCAATCAGATACATAGTTCTGGAAGGAGTTTTGTCACAGGCACATCCAGTCCAATTCACAAAGCAATTTAAGCCTCTAGGGCTCTACAGACTTCAAGGGGAGTCCATGCAGTTAGGTAAGATTTTGGAGCCTAATTAACTTCATAAGCCTCAGGTTTTACTTAATATAAAGAAGCATATTTGATTTCAAGTGGCCTAAAATTAGCCACATAAATAAAAAGCGTGGAGAATACAGAATAGATAACAACTATCACAGAATTCTGTAACTAATAAACTTACAGATTTTTCAGAAAGTACTCAATAACGAACTACTCCTAAATGCTGTCTAAATGGTTAAAACATTACCACATAGTAAATCTCTACAACCCAAATGGATTCTTAATGAGTTTACAAATGTTGGGAAGATACTTTTATAGATGCCAGATTTATGCTTACCCACTGCATATGAATCTTAATTTTTTGAAGCCCAAATGAGTGATTTGCTGAACTCTCTCTTTTTGCTCTTATTTGGTAGTATGAATACTAGCAGGTAATTCCAATCAGTCCAATCTTCAATAAAAAAACCCAAACAGTAGTACTACCATATATAAGTAATGGAAATAAGTATTTCAGCTGGTCATATTTATTTCATAGAATCATAGAATAGTTTGGCTGGAAGGGACCTTAAAGATGACCTAGTTCCAACCCCCCTGCCATGGACAGGGACACCTTCCACCAGACCAGGTTGCTCAAAGCCCCATCCAACCTGGCCTTGAACACTTCCAGGGAGGGGGCATCCACAACTGCTCTGGGCAACCTGTTCAGTGCCTCACCACCCCCATAGGGAAGAATTTCTTCCTTACATCTCATATAAATCTTCCCTCTTCCACTTTAAAGCCATTGCCCCTTGTCCTATCACTCCATGCCCTTGCAAAAAGTCCCTCCTCAGCTTTCTTGTAGCTCCTTTTAGGTACTGGAAGGCTGCTCTAAGTTCTCCCCGGAGACTTCTCTTCTCCAGGCTGAACAACCCCAACTCTCTCAGTCGGTCTTCACAGGAGAGGTGCTCCAGCCCTCGGATCATCTTTGTGGCCTTCTCTGGACTTGCTCCAACAGGTCCATGTCCTTCTTGTGTTGGGACCCCAGAGCTGAAGGCAGTACAGCAGGGGGGGTCTCACCAGAGCAGAGCAGAGGGGGAGAATCCCCTCCCTCGACCAGCTGGTCACGCTGCTTTGGATGTGGCCCAGGATACAGTTGGCTTTGTGGACTGCAAGCGCACATTGCCGGCTCATGTTGAGCTTCTCATCAGCCAGCATCCCCAAGTCCTTCTCCACAGAGCAGCTCTCGATCCATTCTCTGCCCAGCCTGTATTTGTGCTTGGGATTGCCCTGACCCAGGTGCAGGACCTTGCACTTGGCCTTTTTGAACGTCATTAGGTTCACACAGGCCCACCTCTCAAGCCTGTCCAGGTCCCTCTGGACGGCATCCCTTCCCTCCAGAATCTTGAGCGCACCACTCAGCTTAGTGTCATTGGTAAACTTGCTGAGGGTGCACTGGATCCCGCTGTCCACGTTGCTGACACAGATGTTAAACAGTACTGGTCCCCGACCCCTGAGGAAAGCCACTCATCACCAGTCTCCACTCAGACATCAAGCCACTGACCACAACTCTTTG